CAGCGCAAAGACCGTTTTTTTCTACGTTGAACTTTGACTTAATAATCTATCTAGTAATGAGAAAAATCAATTAAAAAAATATTATTAGCATACGATACATGGATCCCATTGATCTTTGAATTGAGGTTGCGACCCGCCGGCAAAGGTACAACAGAACAGCCTGTCTCCTCTTCCCACAAAAATAAAGAAAATTGAAGAATCGTGATGGAAAAGATGGCACCAAAATGGTTCCACTTAGGAGGTACAAGGAGGTGGCATCGGCATTGACAACAAGGAACTCACTGAGCCCCATCGATCTGCGTTGGAGAATTTTTGGATTGAAGTAAATACGGTTGAATATATTCCATATTGGAAAAATGTGGGATCCCCTTTGGTTTATAAAGGTGAATGACAACTCCACCTATCACCAATTGGTTTTAGGTTGGAAGCCTGGATCCCCTCTTAACATGGTATCAGAGCCATAGTTACCCGTATTGGGTATTGATCCGGTATGAATTTTCGAGATTATCATATCGAGAGAAGTGTTGAATATATTTCAAATTGGAAGAATGTGGGATCCCCTTCGGTTTATAATGGTAACGGGTCATTCTACCTATTACCAACTGGTTTTAGGTTGAAAACTCGAATCCCCTCTTAACAAATACCACCCTTAGGTTAGGTTGTCACTGAGCACCTTCATCTGCCCCAAAGAAAATGACTTAGAACTCCTCGTACTTGAGCATTAGCCACTTATGCACTTAGTTCTTTCGAAGAGTATGTGAGCATAGTGGCCCGCTACTTGGTCTCGCGGATGCACAAAGAAGGAACTCCAAATCATTCTATCCTAGCCAAACGAAACTGCCCAGTGACAATCCAATCTAAGGATGGTATCTACCTCAATCCGGGAATTCTCTAGCACAGATCGATGGGTTTCAGTAAGTTTCCCACCATTCCCGGTGCCGCTGTTGCGGCCACCTCCTTGCAGCATTGTCTTCTCTTTGTCTAGAAAGTTAAATGGAGCATTTTTAGCGTCATCTTCCTTATCAAAATTCTCCAATTTTTTTTCATTTTTGTGTGGAGATGAGACAGACAGTTCTATTTTACCATTGCTGCCAGGTCGTAACCTCAACTCAAGATCAGATCAGTGGGATCCATGTATAGTATGTTAATAATATTCTTTTTAATTGTTTTTTCTCACTACTAGATAGATTATTAAGTCAAAGTTAAACATTAAAAAAAAAAAAAATGTCTTTACACTCATTGTTTGAAAAACTTTGAGGTATATAATTTTTTTGATAAAAATTGATCATATAATATCATGATATGTCATATATAAATAAATAAAAGGGTAAATGATTAAATCTTCATGAAATGTAATCGTTGGCCACTTAAACAAATTATGTAAATTAAAAGGCTACCATAGAACTAAAAACAATACATAGACAAAAAAAAAAAAAAAAAATCTTATTCATCTTTTTGTTGTTATATGACTTAATATATATGTATATATATATATATATCTCAAGAAAGATTGCATAATTAATGTAAAATTTTGAACAATGAATAGGATTAAACAAATTATTTTAATGCTTAACCTACTCACCTAATTAGTTAATAGGATTCATAATTAGAGGATAATATAACCATTGTAATTTTATTAATTACATCCTCTTTTTCTAAAATATACAACCTCCATTCGTTTACAATGTTGATTTTTTTTTTTTTTTTTTTTCAGATTCATATTTGAATATTAATTATTATATAAAAATGTAGTACAAATCAAAAAAAAAATACTTCTAGTAGTATTTTATAATACAAATATAATAATATTTATATAAAAAAATTATATAAATATAAAAATATTTTTAATGTTAATACAATAAAATAAAAGATAAATATAAATTCATTAAATGAACCGAGACAATATTATAATATTTTTATTACTAACAATAATATAAAATGTTAAATACAAGAATGCTAAATCCATAGTCATGGAATAATATTATTTTAAGTATTTTCTTTATTGTTCAAATTTATTCTCACTTTTCTTTTTTCATTGTCATCCAAATTTATTTTCGTTTTCTTTTTTAGTAAAAAAACCATTTTTTTAACAAATAAAAATAAAAATTTATTTTTTCTTAAAACTCGTGCTCGGTCAAATAAGCACACAATTTGACGACGGAGGGAGTATTATATTTATACATATACTAGTATAGAATCTGTCTATGTGCACTTAACATCAAAGTTTTTATACTATTTTGGATTAATAAAAAAAGTAATACATTACATACAATACTGTATAATATTCTTGATCAAATTTTGAGAATATTTTATTTTCAATTAAATCAATGAATTAAGTTATTAAAATATTTTACATTAAGTTAAAACTAATTAAACAATATTGTCTGTTTCTCTTCAACTCTCTCATTGATGTCATTATCTTGTTTGTTTGTTCAGAGTATGTTTTAGATAAAAATTTTGTTCAAAGTATATCTATTTTTTTATTAAAAAAATTAAAAAAATATCCATTTACTTTTTTATATAATTTTAGAAATATTAGTATTATATTGGGATATAGGTCTTATTAGTATGTGTGATATAAAGGTAATGACATTTGTGTAATATATTGTAAGTTGTAAGAGTATTTGTAATGTTAGATAGATTGTACAATTACTAAAATAAGAAATGAATATTTTGTTATGGGACGAACTAAAATGGAAAAATGAATACTTTATTATAGGACGAAGGGAGTATTATTTCTCACCGAAAATGTAAAAAAAGTTTTCAAATTTATTTTGGTCTTTAAATTTTGTATGGATTGGGTGATTAGTTTTTGTTTTAAAAAAAATAATAATAAAAAAAATATAAAAAAAAAAATCTAAGTTTGATTTGAATTTATAAATTATTTGTACTCTATTTTAGTTTCAACCCTAATAATATGAGTGGAACAACGATTAGAAAAAACATGAAGAACATTTTTTTTTTTCTATGATTTTTTAAAAAATTTATTTTGCTTTTCAATTTAATATGATTTTGATGAATAGTTGTTTCTAATCTATTTTTTATTTGAATTGAATCGAGATACAAAATTTCTAAACTTTAATCTACAATTTAAATTACTTAATATTTCATGTTTTCTTTCATTTTGATTATTGTTATATAATAAATATATAACTGTATTATATACTCCCTCCGTCCCACCTACCATCCATATCCACGTTCCCATTTCTGTCCATTCTACATTCCATTCCATGTCACTTTTCTTTTTCTTATACACTTTAATCTTATTTTAAACTTTTTAATTTTAATTTTTTTTAATTTTAATTAAACTAATGAGTTATTTTAATATTAATCTATAATTATTTATATTATAGGATAATTATTTTTACTAATAAATTCTTAATTATTTATTAATTATATTTATCTTAAATTCTCGTGTCTATGGTAACCCAAATATCCAATGTGAAATGGAGGTGCTATGTAGTGTGGTGCGTGTATGAGATATTAATGTATATTGAGTGTGAGGGTATAAATGGAATAAAAGATAAATTGAAAGATAGGCTAGAGAAAGGATCAAGAGAACAACCAAATATATATTTTTTTTTTTAATAATATCTATCATTTCAGAGATACATGCGCATATATATATATAGGTAAAGTAGAGCGGTGTAATGCATCCCCTCATGGTAGTGTCTGCATCGACATCACATCGACACTATATATATAATAATTATTGCATATATATATATATATATAAATATATGGGATATTCTTTGTACTTTTTTTTAATTGTAGGCTAGCAACATTAGATAAATAATACTTTCTCTATCTCATAACTAAAAATATCTATTTGCTTTTTATACGTAATTTTAAAAATATTAGTATTAAATTTGGATGTAGTAGGAATAAAGTAAAAATGACTAAAATAATTTTATTAGTACGTGTGATATAAAAGTAATGACATTTGTGTAATATATTATAATTTGTAAGAGTATTTGTAATGTTAGGTAGATAGTACCGTTGCTAAAAAAAAAATGAATACTTTGTTATAAGACGGACTAAAATAAAAAATGAATATTTTATTATGGAACGAAGGGAGTAAAAAGATAGAGAATCTTATCTTCCTTCTCATTGATATCATATGTATGAATCTCTTACAAATTTATTTTGATTTAAATTGATACATGGATTTTGTGAGATTTGATGTAAAGCAACTCAGTGCTGATTTGCAATGGCTAGAACCCTAGCGTAGGTGAGATTAAAAATTACACTATTCAGGGATGAACATCGGTCCGTCCCAATCGGAAAAATCAATTTTTTTTTTTTCTTTTGTTCGGATAGATCGGTTTGATCCGTTCAGTTAATTGGTTTGGTTCAAATTTGGGTTTTATGATTTTTAATTTTCAAATTAAAAATAAAAAAATTAAATTAAATAAAATAAATTTTGTTTTATATATATTATTCTTAGAAGCAATCCGACTCTGAGGGTCACATTTACATTGTATTAACATTCAAAATATCTTTATGTGTATAAAAAAATTTTATACAAATATCATTTTATTAGTATTATAAGACACTAATGTATTTTTACAATTGTCTCTGTATTATATTTTGATATAATAATTAATATTCAAATATCAACCAAATAAAACTCACACAAATAGTATAATTTTGTTCTTTAAATATTTATATTTCAGTATTGATCCATTTGCAAGGTCCTTGGAACATGTAATTGGGAAAAGGAGGAATGTGAAGAAGAATGAATTAAACGAACAAATTTCGATTTGTTTGATTTTAAATGGAATCGAACTGAATTAGTTTGGTTTTGCAGATTTTAACCGAATTAGTTTGATTTTGCAGATTTTGGTTCGGTTTCGATTTTAATTTTTACAAATCGAAAATCGATCAAAACTCAAATTTCAGTTCGGTTCGAACCGACCGAATGCTCACCCCTAATTCTGCTATCAATTATCAAGTATGACACTCGTGGCATGGAGTTATCAATAGTACTAAGATCAAATATCAAAATGAGCCTTCCGAGCAATCTTCAAAATTGAATAAGTTCAGGTCAGGTTTCAGACCAAGGCAAATATAAATTATAATCACCTCATAGTTGGAGAATGAGGCCAATAGGACTGTGATCGCTTCCAGCCACATCGGGGAGGACGTACGAATCGTAGACTCGGCCTGCAATCGATTCTGAGGCAAGAAAATAGTCGAGCCTCCAACCTAAAGACAAGAGAAACCATATATTTGATCATGTCGCGCCACATTTTCTTGAATACACAAACGACGAAACTTTACGCGTACCTCTGTTGGTCTTTCGAGCACCATGCCGGTATCCCCAATATGTATAGCCGACTGCATTCGGGTGCTGTTTCCTAAACGTGTCGACGAAGCCCTTGTCCAAGAAATTCCTTTGGAATGAATCCCTTTCTTCATCCGTAAATCCAGCACTTCTTTTGTTTCCCTGAAAAATCGCAAAATATGAAAACAATGCACAAAAAGGAGCTTTTACGTATCAATTTACTCACTGCAGGATTAAAAATGTCGATTTCTTGATGGGCGCAGTTCAAGTCCCCGGTTAAAATGACAGGTTTCGACTGTTCCAGCTCCTGTAGAATAGAGTATCCGATATAAGTTCAAATCCATAGGCAAGTGGCGAAAAAGAATGGAATCTTTACATACAAGAATCAAATCCCTCTTTTTCGCAAATTCGGACAATTAGAAAAAGCATTTTATACAGTTTAACAAAGTTTCCAGCACTAGAGAACTTTAATTGAACTTGTCTCCAACAAAACAAAGATTACACAACACTTACTTTCATGTAGTCGCCGAGAGAAGGATCCCACTGAGTGGTTCGATACGACTAAGCCAAAAGAATTTACCATAAGTTTTGCTCAACAATATCGTAGTTAGATTATATAGCAAGTGTTCACGAGTCCATACCAGACGTTTCAGACCATCTCCAGAATTAGGAACATATGCACACAACAGATAGAAGTCATCAAATTCGACAGTCACGAGGCGACCTTCGCTATCATGATCCAATACTCCTAAACCATATCTTACAGAATGTGGCTTTATCTGCCGGGAAAAAGAAATGCCTCACAAAGTGAAAAGACTTTCTTTTTTTATGCTCATGAACCAATGAACAGAAAAGACTTATTAAAAGAAAGTCAAAAGATCACAATCAGCCACATCCTAATTTGTGGCTCAAACTCCATTCACACTATTCAACTACAACAATATATTTTTTTGCCCCGCATTTTTCATTTAAAATATCACATTAAGAGTAAGGCATTATTTTTCATTCAAAATATTTCACACAACACCTATTTTTCATTTAAAATATTACATGAAACAGTTATTTTGATGACTACAGTAAAACATTACTTTCTATCAATAAAGTTCAAATCCAAAACAGTACAACACTTACAAAAATCCCGTTGCCGCATTGAAACAATTACTTCAATGTTATCTACAATATGAGTTTCTAAGAGAAATATTACACAAAATATAGAAGTTCAATCGTAAGAAATATTAAATCAAGACTCGCTAAAAGGTGCAGGAGCAGCAATATTGGAAACCGTTACTTACCATGGTAAGATTTTGTTTTTCATTTAGAACGTAATAAGAGCTATAGTTGATGCCACAGGATTGAGCACTGAAAGAAGTGTTCCATAGTACAAACATAATCGAAGGGGCATGCAAATGCAAGGGACATAGAAAAGAAAATTTAAAGTGAAATAAAATGGGAGATGCTGTGGGGAACAAGGAAAGAAATATACCCGCGAAATTATAGCTGTTCCAGAATATCCCAATTTTGAGACACTACACGTCCAATAGCTGTTGTCATAACCTTCTAGTAGAGAATTCCTGATTGCATCGACATCTTTCTCCTGATATCCATAGTGAAAACAATTCCTTACAAGATGATTCACTAAAGGTAGTAATTTTTGTGAAAGTTTATAGTGAATTCAAACAGCTGCAACAAATCCATAAATGCAGATTTGAAGACTACACATGAATTAAAGGTACTGCTACATATATATATATATATATATGTACCATACTACTTTCTAAAGGTTCGAACAAAAGTATCTCAGCCCAAATGCCTATTGTTCTGAAGAAAGAGAGCAAGCTAGATGTTCCAACATCGGGTAAAGATCGAAGTAGGTACCAATGTATTATATACGATAATGTTTTCAGAATTACACACGGATTAAGTCTACTACACACATTTGCTACATAATTTATAAAGTAAACTTCGATATATCTATTGTGTGTTTGTGTTTTCAACCTTATTTTCACACTATGTAATCTGCATTAAAGCATTTTCCCCATAAAAAACAATTACATCCAACACCTATATTCCATTTAAAACATCAAATTTTAATACAATACTGTCTCGAATAAAGACAAATTCCAACTCGCCTGAAGTTTCGTCTCTTGCAAGCACAAGACATCAAAGTTTTCTCGTCTTGCAAGTTGCAAAGCTGAAAAGCTCTCCATCTTGAGGAGGGCTCTTAATCCATTGACGTTCCACGACATTACCTTCATACACATTTTATCAGGTGCCAGAGGGGGAGGCCTCATAGTTTTTGGATTGTATGCAACCCACCCTGGTTGAGGCTTCTTGTGAGTAAGAGTTATCCAAGGCTCACCCCCTGATGACGGACCAATGTCAGCAATAGTTGTTGTACAGATACACCATTTTTCAACTAAAACCATTGCCAAGCATGAAATATACCTTCTTCTCCCGATGACCGAGCAATCAACAGGTTCTCGGAATCACATCCAACGGTATTCTCCGACCTTGGATTCACTTCACCATTACGTTTTGAATTAGCTTTACTAACAGATGGTTGTTCCTTAAATTCATCAACGCCACCACTTTTCAAAGCAACTTTAGACTACAATCGAAGTAACAATAGCTTCAATACTCACGCATAAAACTTAATTCTAAATATATATGTATATATATAAAGAGATTAAATATTAAAACCTTTGAAGCGTTCTTCTGGGGTTTGGGTAGGGTTGATGCAGGGGAACTGGAACGGCGTCGTTTCGGAGCCATTCCAAAGCTCGGAGAAAGGGGGAAAGCAAAATTAGGGCACCGATTGTTCACTGAACACACACTGCAAAATCGAAAAGAGACAGAAAGGAACAATCGCTAGCTCAGAGTCTCAGACATTAACGATTCTACCACATATACGAAAGATGATTTCATAGCTACGTAGGTACCTGGAAAAGGTTGAACAGTGAAATACATGTCTGAGAGCTTGAATCATTGGAACTGCAGAGTCCTAAAACGCTTGAAGGTTAACGACATTGTTTACTGCATAGAAGACAGGATCGAAGAAATGCTCATAAAACGTAAAAATGGAAGCTTTGTAGAATTTAATAAAAGTCGCACAATAATTTTGAGTAAGTCTTGTTTTGTGAAGCAAAAAGACTATTTAACGTGATTATTTAATAAAAGTGTTATTGAATTTTTATTTTTTTAAAAAAGAAAAACATCCTTGCAAATAAGATTTATTTGATTTTGATTTTAAATTTGAATTCCTCCTATTTTTATTTTTATTTGGTTTGAACATGAATTTTAAAAAGTGTGTATTTTTATTTTTATAATAAAAAATATATTATAAATAATAAAAATTGTACTCCCTCCGTCCTAAAATATGATGTTTCATTTACTGTGGAAATAGAAATTTAAAAGAAATATAATCTGATGTTTCATTTATGTGTAAATAATTTTTTAAAAAAATGTTTTTCTTTTACATAAATATATAATATATAAGAAGGAAAAAAAAGTGAATGTTTTTCTTTTTTTTTATAATATTGTGATAGTATTTTTCATATAATATTTTTATGATAGAAAATATTATTGTTACGTACGAAATTTAGAATTAGGTTAAAAGCCCAAGGTGAAAAGAAGAATGGGCCTAGCAATAGGGTTGATTGAACTGGCTGAAGGACACCGTGAGGAAATCAAGGAAAATAGATTTATTTTCTAAGGAAAATACAAGACGGAAGGTCCTCAGGGCGGAAAGACCTCAGGTCGGAAGGATCTCAGGTCGGTAGGTCCTCAAGACGGAAGGTCCTCAGGTCGGTAGGTCCTCAAGACGGAAGGTCCTCAAGACGGAAGGTCCTCAAGACGGAAAGACCTCAAGTCGGAAGGTCTTCAGGTCGGGAGGTCCTCAAGATGGAAAGACCTCAGGTCGGAAGGTCTTCAGGTCGAGAGGTCCTCAAGATGGAAAGACCTCAGGTCGGAAGGTCTTCAGGTCGGGAGGTCCTCAAGATGGAAAGACCTCAGGTCGGAAGGATCTCAGGTCGGTAGGTCCTCAAGACGGAAAGACCTCAGGTCGGAAGAACTTCAGGTCGGGAGGTCCTCAAGACGGAAAGTCATCAGGACGGAAGGTCTTCAGGTCGGTAGGTCCTCAAGACGGAAAGTCATCAGGACGGGAAGTCCGCAGGTCGGGAGGCTTTCAGGTCGGGAAAAGGAAGAAAGTTAAGATCTCAAGAATCCAGACCGAAGTCGGGCAGACGCGGAGGTCTGTTAAGAGGAAGGTCGGGCAAGGAAGAGGTACGGACAGACGCGGAGGTCTTCGGTCGAAGACGGAGGGCGGCTGATGCGGAGGTCGGCCCAAGTGAGGTCGGGCGAAGAAGCAGGTCGGGCGAAGGACGAAGTCGGGCCAAAAGAGCGGAAGGTCTGTGGTCGGCTCAAAGAGTGAAATATAAGGATAATTTTGGTCTGCTGAGGACACGTGTCAGCATGAAAAGGGTTGGAAGACGGTTGGGAAGGAGACGTTGTAACCGTTCGGGTGACGGTTTTCAGTACGGTTTCCCAGAGAATATTTAAAGGTTTGAATCATCATTTGGCAAGGCATCTTCAATCAACTTCAACAAAGCAAAGTCAGATTTGGGGATCACCACTTTAAATTTCAGTCTTTTATTTTCCAGTTTATTTTATGTACCATACAGTGTTTAGAGATTCCTAATCTCAGGCACTAATTAATCAAGTTTAAGGATATTTTCTATATCTTTGAATTTTACTTTATTTTTGTTGAAAAATTACATCAACAAATTGGCGACCACAGTGGGAGAAGGACAAAATTGCTCATTCCAATTCCGGCGATAATTTCATACGTCTTAGATCCGGCCGAATCATCAGAAGGGTTATGGCAGGTTCACAACCGCAATCATCTTCGGCACCGGTGGGAGAATCTGTTCCACCACCCATTGTGCCAAATGCCGGGGAAATCCCACAACCACCAACTGATTGGTGGTCTTATGTTCAACAAATGAACAACCAGCATACCTTGGTTATGCAGAATATGTTGCGTGAGCAACAAACGAACATGTTGCGTGAGCAACAGAGTCAGTTGCAGAACATGATAGATCAAGCACTGTCAAGGGTTAGTCTTCAACCCACTCAAACGCCACCAGGAGTGTCACCGTCCAGACCACAGGCAAATTTCGCAGGGCCATCGTTCGTGGATAGTACATTCCCAAGTGCCACAAATCCCAACCGAATGGATAGGGGAAAATCTCCTTTGACTTTTCCAAACAATGTTCCACTGGGACCAAGGGTTACCAATCCGCAGCCGAACAATACAAGGGAGGACAGGCCTGAAGGATATATACATGATCCTATTCATATTCCTGTGCAGGATCCGTTCCATGTTCCTGATCATCAACGCTTTCATGTAGATCCTGACGAGATTGCACATATATTAAGGGATCAGTATGGATTAACTCCTCAGATGGCTAACCGCCCTGCATATCAGAGACCTTTCCCAGAAAGGATCATTAATGAACACCCTCTCCCAAGGAATTTTCGACCACCCGACTTTCATGCATTCTCAGGGGAGGACGGATCTTCCACCATAGAACATGTTGGTCGGTTCACAACACAATTAGGAGAAGTTGGCAATAACCCTTTTTATAAGTTACAGCTGTTTGGGTTATCTCTTACTAGAACGGCGTTTTCGTGGTTTGTAAGTCTGCCTCCTGGACAAATTCAGACTTGGGAAGGACTGGAGATGGCATTTCACGCTAGATTCTTCAATCCTTTACCAGTTGTTTCTTTAACTGATCTTCTAGAATTGAGACAGTTTCCAGAAGAATCTGCTTCACAGTTTATAGAAAGGGTGCGATTGATGAAGGGACGTTGTCCTACGGTAATCAGTGAGAAAGAGATGACCAATTTAGTGGTCCGGAATATGCATACTCGTTTAAGAAAGGCACTCACTGCCCTGGATGTTGAGGATTTGGCAAGTCTTGCATCCAAGGCAGGACGTCTAGAGTCTTTGTTCAGAGAGGAAGATCAGCATAACAGGCGTAATAGAGGCCAACATATGGCGAGTATGGGAACAGAAACATGTGACTTTGATTTTAATCAGTCAGAAGAGATGGCAGCCGAAATCCTTTCTGGAAAACCGTATGTATGTCCTAAATTGAAGCCAGTACCAGGATCTGAAGGAAATGAGCAACCGACCTTTGATAGTTCGAAAGCTGATAAAATCTTTGATATCCTACTGACTGATGGGCAGATCCGTATTCCAAAGGGGCAAAGACTTGCCACTAAAGAAGAAATCAAAGGGAGACCATATTGTAAGTGGCATAATTCTTTCACACACACTACAAGTCAGTGTACTCATTTTAGGAAGGAAATTCAAAAGGCCATCAAGACAGGTCGGCTCAAATACATCACTCTAGGTGTAGACCAGCAACCGTTTCCGAATGTAACAACGGCAATGGTTGATATCCAACCAAGTTCGGAAACAAGGAAAAGTTCGGCCAACGATGGACAAAAAGGGGAACGAACCCAGCCAAGCCCCGAAACAAAAAAGGGAAGTCGGCCAAACAGTAGCCGACCGGAAGAACGACTCAAAGTTTGTGAGAAGCCAGTTGCTGAAAAGTGGGACCATCCAGACGGTTCGTTTAATGTGGAGGTGAAAGAAAAGGTTTTGGTACGTGATCACCCGACCAGAAAAACAGGGTCGGTCGGGAGCAATTGGGCTCGAAATAAAAAGCCTTTACCAGTTGATATAGATCCTCGGTTCCCAGGTATGAATCGTACACAGATTCGCAATGCCAAACGCAGGTATGCTGCAAAGTATGGGAAACGAGTTCCTATAGCAAAACGACTAACCGACGAACAAAAAGCAGCCGACCACTTGGCAGGAGATCAGTCTATTAGAGTCTTTACAGAACAAACGACTAACGAGCAAGGAGCAGCCACTCAATCTCCAAAAGGTCGGTCCAGTCGGGTCTGTTCAGGAAAGCAACCGAACGTCGGATTAGGCGCTTCCGACTATGCCAAAGGAAGTTCGTCAGGACTGGGGAAAGGTAAAGGGATGGCAGATGAAATAATTAAAGGTTTTAGATGCCAACATTGTGAACGAATCAACATCAATCCATCTCTTGAGGAATTCCGTATTGAATCTTTGACGGTTCAATCTCAATCTCGGGATAAGACAAAGGAAGAAGTAGTAACTACAGAGGAAAGTTCAAGATCTGTTAAATCTCGTCTGGGACCACGAATCCCTTGTCGAATGACAGAGATTAATCAGATGAGTGATGAACCGATGTGGGCGAGTCTGGTAGATGAAACTATGGACGAACCTTTATGGGCATTCTTGGCAGATGGTGAATTAGAGGGGACAGAGGGGGCAAAGACCTCAGATTCCGATCCTCAGTCGGAAACACCTTCGATTGTGTTCCCTCCTATTCCAGAGGGTGCGATCTCTCATTTGAAACCTCTGTATGTTAATGCTCACATTTTGGGAAACCAATCACAAAGGTTTTCGTGGATAATGGAGCAGTCTTTAATGTTATGCCATTGAAGACTCTCAAGAAGCTAGGGAAAGGAATTCATGATCTGTCTCCTGTGGAATTCGAAATGACAAGTTTTACAGGGCAGCCGACTAAGCCTGAAGGCATGATGGTTGCCACGATCGAGGTCGGGCCAAAGAAGATCTCCACTGTTTTCTTCATTGTGGACGCAGATACTACATACTCTCTCTTGCTGGGAAGAGACTGGATTCATGCCTCTCAATGTGTGCCATCAACCTTGCACCAACAATTAATGTTCTGGGAAGGAAATCAGGTCTTCAAAATGGAAGCGAATGACAACCCATTCGATGTATCAGAACAAGTTGAAGAGTCAGTGTTTTATTCCAGTCCTTTGGCTCCGATGTCTCAATTGTATATGGCCAGGGAATACCCAAACAAGGGTTATAAAGTCACTGGCCAGAACTCGATGTTCTATTAAAAGAACACCTTTATTGTATGGCTCATGATAAAGCCACACCCATTCCCATATAATTTGTTTGTAATGGAAGATACAAGCTTAGAAGTATGTAGTTCTCTTATTAATAAGTTCTATTTAAAGCAGTTATTACA